TCAAGACCAGCAGAGCTAAGGAGTGTGATTGGATCACAGCAGCCATAAACACTTGAGTGTGAATTAGCTTGCTGCAGGGCCATCGCCTGGTGTCTGGCTTTGGAGAATGCCAGGAACACCGTGGCTGGAACAGCCTCCTGAAATCTACAACAGCCTTCACTGTGTCCCTGTCCTCTCTGGGCGCCTGGTGCCCAGAGCTTTCTGCGTTCTCACTGACAACTCTCCAACAATCACGGAAGTGGGTACTCACGCCCATTTTACAGATGAGCCCAGAGAGGTTGGGTAACCCGCCCAGGGCCACACAGCTGGTCAGTGGTGGAGCTGGCATACAGCACCACGTCCGGCTCCACCCCCGAGCTCCTGGTTTCCCTGTTTCCTGATGCTGACCATGTTTCTTGCCCTCAGGATGAAGCTGGAAAGTTCTTACCTTTGCTGACATGAGCTGAACCCCACCCCGGAGGAAATCAATTCTGTACACCACCCTCACTGGGCCTGCCAGGTCCATGTAGGCAATCTCCCCAGGTGTTCGCCAGTGGGCAGTAGTAGAGAGAGATGGACCTGCCTTGCGGACTCCTACTCATCCTGCAAAACCCGGCTGAAAAGCCTTTCTCTGGCTGGGCTCCCAGAGCCCACGGTTCTCACTCCACACACTATAGCCTATAGGCGAGGACCACACCGGGGTGGGGAGCAGCCTGGGCTCCTGCAGACCCTCTGTTCTTGGCTGCGCAGCACTCCCTGGCTTTGCGTGGAGCTCCAGGCAGAGAAAGAGCCCTGGAACGGGTGGGATCTGCGTGCTGGGGGGCTGGCTCAGCATCCCCAGGCCCATGCCACCTCAGTTTCCCCAGCTTCAGACAGGGTCCTGACACCGGCCCCACCCACTTGGTGGTGCCAACAGGGCTAGCACGGGAATGTCTGGGAGGCCCTCTCCTCACTCAGGCCCCCACTCAGCTCCCAGACCCCTCTGGCCTTGTCCTGCCAGGATGCAGTACAGCCTGGGAAGCCGGAACCTTCTGGAGCCAACAGCTAAGGAGAGAGTGAACAGGAGTCAGACTATTTTAAATGGTGGCTGAAATGCAGGGATGGGCGTCCAGGCTTTTCCCTCTAATTCTAAATTTAGACGCAGGGGTAAACAGAGCCAGGCAGCCTTCTGATTTGAGAGACCCCCGGGCGCTAAACAGAGGAGCCCGTGTGTGCAAAACTGCCTTTCCCTCCACTCTAACTTTAATACAAACAAACGCATTTTGTTCCAAGGGCAAAGAAAAAAGTCTTAAATTCTCCCCAAACACCTCAGCAGCCAGGCGTGGGGCACCACACTTGGGGGAGCAGGGAGCTCTCACACCCGAATCGGGGGTCCCCACCCAGGGTGGGGGACACCAGCCACTGAGCTGGCACCTTTGCTAGACAGTGTGGAACTGGCACTCAGAGAGGGGAGGGACCTTCTCATGAAGTCCACCTGGGACACTCACTATCCTGGGCTGAATAGTGTCCCCCTGAAATTCATGTCTAGCTGGACCCTCAGATATGAGCTGATTTGGAAATAAGGCCTCTGTTGAGGTGATTAAGTCAAGGAACTCGAGTTGAGATCATCCTGGGTAATCCAGGTGGGTCCTAAATCCAGTGACAAATGTCCTCATGAGACAGGAGATGCAGCCACAAACCCAGGGGCGCCTGGAGCCCCCAGAGGCTGGAAGAGGCGGGAAGGCCCCTCCCCGAGAGCCTCCAGCGGGAACGTGGCCCTGCCACACCTTGACTTCAGACTGTGTCCTCCAGAACTGGGAGAGAATCCATTTTTGTTGTTTTAAGCCCCCCAGTGGGTGGGAGTTCATTGTGGCAGCCCCAGGAGACTCGTACACCCGCTGTCCCAGGTGCCATGCACAGAGCCGCTCTATAGGCACACCAACTCATTCGCTCATTCACACACCACCACCAGCTGAGCCTAGAAGGTGAGGACCACCTCTGTCGCACCTACAGTCCAAGGGGCACGAGAGCGCCTACATGTGGCGGCTCCCCCGCAGGACTCCCCATGGTCTCCAAAGGAAACCGGGTGCACGGCACTTCCCACACGCCAGCCGCCCAGACGCTCTATTTTAGGGTCGATCCCACACATCTCTGAGAAGCTGGGCTGGCTTCTGGCCAGCCCCCAGCCCAGGCCTGTGGGGCGAGGGGGTGCGGAGTGCAGGCAAAACAGGGTGGACCCAGCGTGGAGATCAGATGAGGCCCGGCCTCCACCCCTCACCCCCGGGAGGTACCCCTGGCAGCACCCCCCATTGAGTAGACCCCCCTCCTCTGTCTGCCCTGGGGGGGACCTATGGGCAGTGCTGCAGGGCAGGAGGCTGGCGCTCGCTCCCATGGGGGTGAAGGAAGCTGGGACAGAGGAGACAGAACAACTGCTGGGGCACAGTTGCAACTGGCAAACTGGCCCAAAGCCCCCGATCGGGGCCGCCCCAGCTTGCCTTTCTTGGGCTCTGTTTGTCCGAGTCGCGCCAGGAACACAGCCCATAACTCAAGCCTCGGGCCGCCCCCACCCGGACAGCTGCAGGGGCAGCCGCTGCTATGAATGGGAGCCGTTTGCCCCAGAGTCCCGGCGGTGGGGGCCCAGGGCGGCCCAGGGGCGCGGGGCCCGGCGGGAACAATGGCCGGGCCAAGGCCCATGGTGGCCGAGGCTGGGGCTGCAGCTGACGGTGCGGCCAGGGCACCCATGCCAAGCTGGGCACAAAGGGGCCGTTCTCCCGGCCGGCGGGCGGATGTTTGCACAGGTGTGGGAGTGGGAGCGCCGCGCTGTGCGGGCGGGCGGGGGGCAGGGGGGCAGCCCGCGGCCCACAGCCCAGGAGCGGCCGGGGGACAGGGAGGGCAGCGCCAAGGCCGAGCACCGCTTATCAGCCCTGCCACGGGCAATCCTCATGCACTTCCTGCTGCACCGTATGGTCTCCGGGAATCCTCCTGGCTCTGGGGAGCCTGTCACTACATGGGCCCTGCCTGTCACTAGGATGGGCACCCTCCACCCCCCACGGGCAAGCTCCCTGCCGGGGACTGAGCCTGCCCACCCAAACCTGCTGGGGCCTGCCACACCTGGACCTGCGGGGGCACAAGCCCGCAGGAGGGCGGGCGGGCAGAGGCTGGAACCAGGGCCTTCCCCAACCCGGAAGCTGGGTCTTTGCCTTCCCTGAGCAGCCTGGCACGTTGGAAGCTTCCAGAAAACACGCTGACTCAGCCAACGAACATCAGGAGCCCCCGCTGCGAGCCTGGCCTCACGGGGGTGGGGATGCAGAAACAGCAGGGGAACAGGCCTGCTGGGGAGCCACAGAGCGGCGTCCCGCCCCGCCGAAACAAGCTAGGATGGGCCTCCCTCCTGGAGGAGGGTGGGGAGCCCCCGGAGAGAGCAAGGCCTGCCCTTTCTGGAAGGAAACACTGGGGACAGACACAGCCGGGGCCTGGCACAGCCGTTGTCCCCACCCAGTGCCCCTTACACCCGCGCTGCCCCCAAGACCTCGGCTCCACCTTATACAGGCTGCGACCCTCTCCCCTCCCTGGCCGGAGCAAGCCTGGACGTCAGCATCCCAGCCCCCAGCTCAAAGGGGCTCCCACTCAGCCTTGTGCAGCTCGTAACCAGGGCTGGCGCCCACCTGCTCTCACCCACTCCACCGCTCCAGGCTCAGTTCTAGACCCTACTGGGGCACTAGCTCCTTGCGCCCCGAGAGCATGTTGAAGGAAGTAGTGCTGTGTGTGCCCCACAGGAAAGGCGGGGAGTGCCAGGGCCTGGCTGCGGCCCAGAGATGGGCCGCACCCCTGCATTCCCCTACAGCGAGCGCCCACCCCGGGCTGCCTCAGGGCCCTGCACATGCTGTTCCCCAGGCCAGTTCCCATCCCTGTGGGTGGGTAAGCTGCCGGCCACCCTGCAGTTAAGGGCCCGGGACCTGCCTCCCCACGAGGTCCGAGGTGTGCGTGGAGGGTTTGGTGCCCCGAGAACTTGCTCCCTGGACCCACACACCAGTGAGGCTGGCTTCCCACCGTGAGCAGCACTCATGGAGCATGCGGATCAGACGTCCTGCAGCTGCTGGGGCCCCCGAACCATCCCCGGCACATCTAAGTGGTCTTCACCGCCCGTGGGATCATCTGCTTCCCGTCCACCTCTCCTGCACAATGGCAGCGCGGGCCAGCGGAGAGCCACCCCAGCCTGCGGCCTGGCCACTTCCAAGCAGGAGCTGGGTGCTGGGTGCTGCAGGAGGGGAGGGGCACACCTGCTGGGCTCTGCCCCAGCTCACACACAGAGCCCATCTGCACAGCCAGGGGAGCCTCTGGGCCCCTGGGGCAGGACCCACACTTTTCTGGACAGCTCTGCTTCACAGGGCATGCCCGCTGCCCAGGGCCAGCTACTGAATTTGCAGGAGATGAGGTCCACCCACTTGTCATGAGTTCTTTGTTTGCTATGTAACCTCTCGCTCCTCGACACAGGGGTACTTATGGGGCCAGCACAGGCCCTCAAAGACGCAGGGCACACACCTGACCCCACCCTCGATGATGCCCAGGGGCAAAGGGTGGCCAGGGCCTCGGAGCAGGGGTGGAGGCGGGGGGAGAGGCAGTGGAGAACTCGGCCTGGGTGGGGTGGGGCCCGGCGCGGGGACCTAGTGTGAGCTGAGGCTCCAAGCACCCCACGCACACTCCGGTGTCTCGGATTTCCCTTATAAACTCAGAGACAGAACGTCAGGACCCTCAAGACAGGCGACCGCGGGGCATTAAGCACGGAGTGTGGGGCCGTCTGAGTGTGGGGCCCTGCGCTGGCCACCCATCCACCAAGCTGGGCCCGCTGCTGGCTTCAACCACAGATCCGTGGGAAGAGTTCTGAGCATTCGGGCAAGGAGTCCCCGCCATCGAGGCATGAAATCTTGAGAAACCAGAGCCCCACGGCCCACAGGGCGACGTCCTGCCCCCTCCTCCGTCCCAGAGGGTCTGTGGACACGCGGCCCCCACACAGAACAGCCCTGCCCAAAACCCCAACTTACCACCCCCCACCACAAGGCGTCCGCGTAGCTGCCAAACTCAACGCGGCCCGACTCATTCACGGCATCTTTCTCGGCCAGGTACACGAAGTACGAGGAGAAGATGAGGCCCAGGAAGCCGATGTACAAGGTGGTTATCAGCTCCTGGGAGTCAGAGCAAGCAGAGAAGGCGCCAGTCAGCCGGGCGCTCACAGGCACCTCAGGGGCCTCTGCGGATACGCCTGGCCAACATCACAGGCAGCGAGGGGCCTGCCTGGCAGCAAGTTCCAACATTTACCAGAAAGTTCTATGTACATTCCAGCATGTTTCACATGCAGACATCAGACTTCAAAGTAACCTATTTTTCTCAACCCTTGTAAATGGCTGGTGGTGGGTCTGGCCCTCCAGGAGCAAGGCGGGCCCCCAGCCACCGCCTGGACAGACCATCTGGGCTTGCACAGGCTCCACTGACCGCGGCTCTCTTTCCTGAAGAATCACGGTGATAGGGACGGCTAGGCTCTCACGGAGGGGTGTGGGCAGGCCACCTTCACTGTCACGGGACTGTTCTTGCTCTGCCCAGTTCTAGATTTCTGAGCCTGTTCGACCTTTTTCCATCTTACATTTCTGTCTCTTGTCCCCAGCTTCAAAGAACAAGAGCACGTCATCAACCCAACCGGCCAGGGATGCTGGCACTCTGCATTGGTTGCAGAACGGCCCACCTGGCTCATACTGGGGCTCGCTTAGACCCCGCACTGTACCCTCTCTCCCCCAACTCCAGGCCTCTGCACCCCACCCAGACCACCCACCTGACGGTGGATGAAGACCACGGAGCCCAGCAGTCTCCAGGTGCCTCCCTGGCGGTCAACATGCAGCATCCTCAGGATCTGGAGGAAGCGGATGCCCCTGCGAAAAAGAATTTCTGTGCCCCTGCCCAGGCCTGCTCCACCCCCGACTCACCCCACTCAGTGCCTCTGAAGCCCCCTCCGGCACAACCCCTCAAAGCCTGGTTCCAAATCTACCCACTCACCATCGTGCAACCCCCAACACCCTCTTTCTCAAGCACAGGGTCAGGGCTAGGGGCAGACTGCCTTCTGGGGGAGGCCCCGGGATCAGCCCAGTTTACAGATGAGCACACTGAGTCCTGGAAGTGAATTAGTGCTCACGCGGTGTCTGGAACCCGGGCAGCCTAACTCAGCATGGGCCTTGAGCCCACCCCCCGCCCCAGCACACGGCCCCAAAGCTCTCGCCCCCTCCCAGCCCGGAGAGCTTGCAGCCCAGCCGTACCTGATGGCCGAGGTGGCAAATACCTGCCCTTTGGAGCCCACGCAGAGGACGACCATGGAAGCCACAACCACAATGAGGTCTGGGGGAACAGCGTGACACCACCATCACCAGCCGGGCAGCTGGCTCAGGGCAAGGAGCCTGGTGGTCGGGCGGGACAGGGCCCAACAAAGGGGACACAGAGACACCTTGGATGGGGAGACTCGGCCCTCCATCTTGGGCAAGTGCAGAGCCCACCTGACCCCACCTCCCCAACCCTGGTTCGCAGGCTACTGAGGGCAGCAGACACCCACATGTGCTGAGCACAACCAAGACCCCTGCCCATGAGCAGCATCTGAGGACAGGGGACCTGAGTGCTGAGGCTGGCTCCTGTGCTGGGGGACCTGGGAGGACAGCCTGCTGGCCTTGGGGTCCTACTCCGTCACAGGCAGAGGAGCCTGAGGGTCTCTGAGTCCTCAGGGGACTCTGCCTGCTGGTGCTCATGATAGGGCTCTGCCCCACAGATCCCCCCTTCCTGGGGAGGGTGCCAGCCCTTGCCGGAAAACCTTGGGGTGAAGCTTCCGTGGAGGCAGGCATGACTCACCAATGATGGAAATGGGCTTCCGGGCAAAGCGCAGCCGCCCCCAGACGCCCACGTACTTGCTGCGGCAGCCTGCGGACCAGAGGCGGACCGCGTACTCAGTCCCAAAGAACACCACCAGGACGATCTCCTGCGGGGACAGAGGGGCATGATCTCACCATGAGGCCAGGCTCTGCCGCCTGTTCAGATGGGGCTGCACCAATGGGCAGGCCCCCAGTATGGGACCCTCTACTGAGAGACACCCCAAGAGCAGCTGGCCTGGGTCCTGGTCTGCTAGAAGTGGGTGGTGCCCACTGCATCGCCCACCTGGAGAAGCCAACGACCTAAGCCCAGGTCCACCAGTGGTGGACACCGGTGAGGCCTGCTGCTCTTCAGGGGCAGGGGGAGACCAGGCCCAAAGGGAGATCCACACCAGGGCTCAGGAGCGGCTCTGGGTCTTGTGCCCTCGTCTGGCCCCAAGAAACACGACGTCCTGGGGCCTACATTCTCCAGCCAGTACTCATTGAAACCACCGAGTCCCCAGAACTCAGCCCATACATCCCAATTTGGGGGTTGGAGAACATATGTCCTCACGGGACAATCCCTCTTTCACCTCACACAGGCACCACGCCACCAGAGGGACAGTAGTCACCATTTGGCAGCCTTCACTGGGGCCCAGGTGCAAGAGTTCCCTGGGGCAGGGAAGCTGGGTCACAGGAGAAAGAGGGGTCTCAGAGGGCGTCATTGGTACTTTCCTAAAGGGAAAGGCAGGTACAATGTCCCCTGTGAAACAATGCCCCTTGAGAGGCCCTTCCCATGGTCCAGGCCTTCAGCAAAGACTGTTCCACAGATCAGTCTACAGTCAGGGTACTTTGGGGAGGTGGGGGAAAGCCAGAGAGCCAAGAGCTAACATCTGGGTTACAATGGATGGATGGATAGTGGACATACAGGTGGGTGGAAGGAAAAAAGGATGGGTGGATGGGCAAATGAGGATGGATAGCGTAAAAATCAAATTCAAAAGGGAAGTGCTGTATGTTAACAAATTGGATAACCTAGATGAAACGGACAAATCCTTAGAAACACAAAACCTACCAAGACTAAATCATAAAGAAATAGGCAATCTGAATGGCCCTATAACTAATAAAGAGAATCAGTAATCAAAAATCTCCCAACAAAGAAAAGCCCAAGATCTGATGGCCTCACTGGTGAATTCTATCAAACATTTAAAGAAGAACTAATACCAATCATTCTCAAACCTTTCCAAAAAAATCGAAAAGGAAGGAACACTTCCTACCTCATTCTAGGAGGCCAGCATTACCCTGATACCAAAGCCAGACAAAGACACTACAAGAAAAGAGAACTACAGACCAGTATCCCTTATGGACACTGATACAAAAATGCTCAACAAAATACTAGCAAACTGAATTCAGCAGCATATTAAAAAATTATACACTATGACCAAGTGGGATTTATGCCGGGAATGCAAAGACAGTTCAACATACGAAAATCAATCAATATAATACATCACATTAACAGAATGAAGGAAGAAAACCACATGATTGCAATCGACGAAGAAAAAGCATTTGACAAAATTCAATACCCTTTCACGATAAAATAAAAAAACAACAGTAAACAAATTAGGAATAGAAGGGAACTACCTCCACATAATAAAAGCCGTATATGAAAAACCCAGCAAACATCATATCGATGGTGAAAGACTGAAAGTTTTTCCTGTAAGATCAGGAACAAGGCTTTCGCCACTTCTATTCAACACAGTATTGGAAGTTCCAGCCAGAGCAATTAGGCAAGAAAGAGAAGTAAAAGGCATCCAAACTGGAAATGAAGAAGTAAAATTATCTCTGTTTACAGATACGATCCTATGTGTAGAAAACAAAGATTCCACACAAAAAAACTGTTAGACCTAATAAATGAATTCAGCAAAGCAGGATACAAAGCCAATGCTTAACAATAAGTTGCATTTCTATATCAATTGCATTGTTTCTATAAACAATGAACAATCTGAAAAGGAAATTACAAAAACAATTCTATTTACACTAGCAACAAAAAGAATAAAATACTTATAAATCAACTAAGGAGGTGAAAGACTTGTACAATGAAAATGGAAAAATACTGCTTAAAGAAATGAAGACGACAAATAAATGGAAACACATCCCATATTGAGGGATTAAAAGACTTAATATTGTTAAGATGTCAATACTACCCAAAGTGATCTACAGATTCAAAGCAATCCCTCTTAAACTCATGATAACGTTTTTTGCAGAAAAAGAAAAAAAGCCGTCTTAAATTCATATGGAACTCAAGGGACTCTGAGTAGCCAAAACAGAATGTGGTCCACCCATTCAGTGGAATATTACTCAGCCTTATAAAGGAAGGCAATGCTGACACAAGCTACACCATGCATGAACCTGGAGGATGTTACACTGAGTGACATAAGTCAGTCAGGCCTGCTTCCAGCTGGCTCCCTGCCCTGTCCTCCCCCAGGAGCCCAGTCCTGGCAGGGGACTTCTGCTTCCACTGGGTGACAGTGGCAGGCCCTGCTCCCACGCCCAACCTCTGCCCTCCAGGGAGCCCACCACAAAGGGGTGGCCGGACACTGCCCGCTGGCTCCCAAGTGTCATTAATTAGGATGAAATAATACTTACACCACCCAGCTTGTGTTTGGGGCAAGCTCCAGGGATAACGGGAGAAAATGTGGGAGAGTTTACGCTTTTCCTTTTACAAAAAAGTTCTCGGTTCATAACATGGAATCTTTCGGGCGGCGGGGTGTGTGTGTGGTTGGGAACACGTGGGAGATGGCGGGAGAGCAAGGGGGCGTGGACACCTCAGGCTCTGTGGCCTCGTGGGGGGCAGTGGTACTTATCCTACCTCTGTCCTCAGCTCCAAGTGCAGCGGCCTTGGCTGGGGGCTGGCTGAGCCCACCAGGGCAGAGGCCACATTAATCTTCCCAGCCCCCTTTCCCCAGCCTCAGAACAGTGCCTGCCCTGGTTGGCACTTGATATGGATCTACTGAATGAATGAATGAATGAATGAACAGATCACCAAGAAGGTTGAGAGCTCCCTGGTAGCAAGGACTTTGTCTCGTTCGTCTGTCCCAAGAACCGGGCCCTGACAGTTCCCAGTTGGTGTGACGAGCAGACAAGCACGGAGGTCCCAGCAGTGAATGGAGAAGGGGGGGCGGGGGGGAGGGTCTGGCTTCCAGCGTTTCGCAATCATGAGAAGGGCCACAGAGCCATCAACATCCGGGTCCCCGAAGTTGAGACATGGGTGGTGTCTTCACGGAGAAGGGGTCACCTGACCACTGGTGGCCCCCAAAGGGGGTGAATAGCAACCCCCAAAGAGCAGGCCCCAGAGCCTCCAGCCCAGCTCTGAAGACCCACACACCATGGGGCTATCAACCACTTAGGGTTTTTCTTACTTGGATGCATTTTTTTATTGAATACCTTCTTCAGCTGTGTCCTAAGCAGATTTGAAGTGTCAGAAGTGTCTTATAACAGACCTGAAAATAAATAACTAGTAGGGATTGCTGTTGATGGCTGCGTGTCCCCCCAAATTACCCTGGCCTCACACTTCGGGAGACCCTGGCTGGGAGCTCAGAGCTACCCCTGCCCTCCTGGCGCTGGCAGTCTGAGACCGCGGGACTCCCTCTCTGGAGGGGTGAAGTGTAGGAATAATTTAAAACAATGCTAATCCCCAAATCCTGTTTGCCTCTGGAATGCAGCGCGAGGCCCGGCTGGCTGCATGGGGCTCTCCCCGTGTCTAAGCGAGCCCCAGGCCCGGGCCGGGCTGAGTTCATCAACGTGGCGCTGCAGGCATGCTGGGAAGGGCAAGTAAAAGCCCTTTTACGGTCTCAGGGCCTAAGACAGTGGGAACGAATGTTGCTCAAAGATAAGATGATCTCTGCACCGTCAGCCTCGAGCGCTGGGCAGGATGGCACTTGAGTCAAGGCCACGGCCGGGACTTCAGGCCTGGGCGCCGCTTGCTGGGACCCCCGGGGGCTCCCTGTGGGCCAGGCACTGTGGGGGCAGATTTCCCGGCCAGCCGGGCCTGTCTCCATCTCTTGGAGCCGTCTGTCCACCGACCTGGGCCCCAGGAGGGCTGGACAGACCGGCCTGAGGCTCTGGACCAGCAGAGTTCTTGCACAAGAGGGGCCTTGGCCGCCCGGGCAGGGGCTGCTGTGGGGGCTTTGACTGGGCTTGACCGTCCATTTGTGGCGGTTGGGGGAGGAGTGGGGATAGGGCCTAAGCTATCCGGTGGTGCTACCCCGATTCAGGGGACAACATCCCCAGTACAAAGTGGACTCATGGAATGGCAAGGCTACCTCCTCCTAGCTCCGGGTTAAGAGAGACCAGCCTCCAGCTTCAGTGGTCCAGACCCAGGAAGAGTGACCCCCTGGCCACCCTCCATGCCCTGGGCTTTCTGCCCCTGGCAGGGACAGGCCCGAGGCTCATCTGTCTTTGCAAACCAGGCCCTAAGCACGCCCCGAAGGTGAACTAAAGGGGCGTCAACCCCCACCCCCCCGCCCTCTGCCCAGAGCCTGCCAACATCTGTCACCTCCCCCATGCTCCTGCTCAAGCCACCACCGTGGCTCCCCATTGTCCACAGAGTAGGGTCAGGGTCTGAGGCCCCTTCCTGGGGGCTCATCCCAGCCCACCTCGAGAGCTTCCCATTGGCCCAAGGCACCGCATCCCAGTGCTCCACGCCCCCTCTCCCCCAGTGCTGTGTATCTGGGATGCTCTCCTTCTGTTTCCTCCCCTCTCTCTACCCCCTCCAGGTCCTCAAGCCCGTCTCAGTCCAGCTCAGGCACCCCCAACCCCTCTGTGGGGACCCCCCCACCAAACCTGTGGAAGCCAAGGACCCTCCTTGGCTCCCCCGGTGATAACAGAGCCAGCCCAGGGGGCCCTCTTGGCGAGCCGCACGGGGTGCCCGCACCCCCGCTCTGGTATGTGCACAGGTCAAGGATGCAGGCTGGGAAGCTGGATCACTGACGGTGCATGGCCCTGGGCTCTGCCCAGCAGACACAAGAAGAGGGGTCATCAGGGACCTCGTTGAGACCACAGTCAAACCACATGGACAAAGGGACCCCTTCCACCCTGGCTACTGTCCCTCAGACAAATCAAGGTCGCCTCCCAG